AGTGAATAAAATAATAAATAGACGTATAAAGTTTGGTGATAAGTAAATTTACAAGTTATGGAATATGGGATTTCACAAAATAAAATTTGTATACAGTTCTGCTCCTAATAATTTGAAATGTATTCGTAAAGCATTCCTAATTGGATAGCGAGTTGATTTGCCAAAAATATATTCGTAAATATACTGTGGTAGTGAGAATAAATTTATCCAATATGAATTTTTATAATCAACGTCGCAAATCTTCAAATAAATCCGACAAAAATTTTTGATATACCGGAATTTAGTTACAATGAATTTTTATATATTGTTATGCGCGCAAAAATTTTCTTAATTCCGAGAAAATTTACATATTTATTAAAAAAACCAAAAATTTAAAGAAATTGTCTAATTTACCTGCTTTTTCTTTAAGTTATTAATAATATAAAGAGCAAGAAAAAAAATTTTTTTTTCAGAATTTACTCCGCCAATACAAATCCATCTAGGGTTTCACCGCATGAAAAAAAAATTAGCCGAGTCATGCATATTTAATTTTATTGGTAGATTATCATGAGATTCGGTATACTATAGCTGATTTGGTATTAAATTAGGAATTTTTTTTTTTTTTTTTTTTTTTGATCGGCGCCTCTTCCACTTTTACATCCTACCTCCATTTTTTTTTTTTATTTCACAATTCTGTTGTATCATCCTATACTGCCTTATTATTAAAATTCTTGATTAAAAATATTGTGAACTTTATTAAATAAAAGGTTCAACGTTCTGTTTAAATTTAAAAGTACATCCCAAAACTTGTATGACAACTTTTGGTTCTTTTTATTTCTTTAATAAAAGTCCATTTATTTATTTCCAATTTTCGCTTTTCATTTATCTCAAGTTACCAAATATATTATGTCATCCATCACGAAAATAAAACTTCCTTTTGTAAAGACGCTAGAGTTGTTCAATACTTCAAGTACCAGCGCATCAATCACGAATCAAGCAATTAATGACACAACATCACTTCAGCATACTGGCACACTTGAAAACTTTAATCAAACTGTTGTCATTACAGTTTTAGTTTTCGGTCATATAGATTTAATAGTCTGCTCTCTTGTGGTATGTTATCAACAATCATGTTAATTTGCAGTAACGTAATGTAACCTTACATGTCTTTTCTAGATTTACTCTGCATATACGAAATGGCGCATGAGTTCTTTATCAATGTCAAGTTGATACCTGACATATTCCAAGGTAATTATAAATTATAAAATTTGTAAATCTATATTCATAATCGTAGTTAATTTCTCATATCTTTTTTAGATTTTGTATTCATGCCAAACTTCTTTTATTCGTTGATATATTTCCTGAAACAACTTGTAAAATATTCGCTCACATTTAATGTACAGCCGTCCCTCTCTATAGTCACCCCTGTACAATCACATCATATAAATCCCTCATTATAAGCACACATTTCCTATTAATGCTATATAAAAAAAACCCTTTATAATCACAGTGTTTTTATAGTCACACCCTTCCAGAACCAACACTTAGTAACAACATATAAAAATCCCCCTGTATAGTAACTTTTTATTATATTCACACTTTTTATTTTTAGTCCCGAGGGTGTGACTATAAAGGGGGACGACTGTATATGAATTAAAAATATATATATTCTCAATAGGAAATTCATTATCTGTATTTTGGCAATATCGTTAACTTCGCTATGACCAACGATATTTTTGTATCTAATGTTAGCAACCACGCCAAATACAATAAATATATCGTTAATTAGTGTAATTGTTATTTTTGCAGTAACTTTTATTATTTCATGTTACAATTAACTTTAATGTAGATAGAGAAACGACAGCTTCAATTGAGATAAAACAAATTGGAAAGGCAGACAGGCTACTTTAAAAATTTTGATCTATATATCAGTTTTTTTAAATGGATACCTTTAATGTATAAGCATTATGTTCGATTTTTAAGTAGTTTTATGGATGCATATGTTAATCATTCGGTTATGACGACTACTAAACTTTTCACATAAAACTTAGCGTTTCATTTTGGAGGCTTATATAATTGCATGAACGACGTATGCGTTGGAATACAATACATATTATCTCAATTTTTAAAATTTTTAATAAAAAAAACATTTTTATTCTTTATTCATTTTTTTTTATTTTCTCATGTAAATGTTTCGTGAATGTTATAATAAATTAACCGTATGTCTTCTATTAATTATGAATGACCAAAGTATCTTGTAAATGAGTGAATTTTCTATGGAATATTACGTACATCATAGACGATGCTGAAATTACACTGACGGTTTTAATAAAGTGCTGAAGTATTTGCAAATACATATTGTCAAGGTATGTAGATCTTACCGCAGTATGTGTGAAAAGTATGAGAGGCATAGCACTTTAAAAATAACGGAAAATTTTGCGAATATTTAATTTTAATGACTAGGAAAAGAATAAACTCATAAATTTAACTTTCGAGAGAAACGATTGAACAATTAAAAAAAAGAACATATATTCGCAACAGTTGCTTCACTAACATTTTTTTCAATTTAAATAGAGGGATTTTACTCTTGCGCATTAAACAGAACAAGCAAGTTCATAAGTTAAAACAACCTTGTTTACTTCATCTTAGGCAAGTCTTCTATTCTCGTTATGACGGGTAAGCTTCCGTCGTAGAAACTAGTCGAGTAGACATTAATGTGTCACCACGTAAAACGCAAGGAGTTCGTTCTTATTAATGTTTGGTAGACACTTTAAAAGTCCAATTATTTGTATTTGAATTGGCCTTCTAAGATTTTAATCAAATATAACGGACCAGAATAAAGCTATTCAATATAAGGAATTTTATTTACTATATTTAGTTTGGGAGTAGGAATTGTCACTTTTGATACCAAGTCAAATAAAGAAAATTTATTACCTTTAAGGTTGGGAAGAACATGCTTGCTCCCGCTGACAATAATAAATTAGCCTTACACTTACAGTTTAAAGTGTCTATAAATCATAAAGAACGATATTCCAACCAATTAAGCCAATAGATAAACGCTGTGCTTTAAAGTTGGTTCGCTTTTACAGAGGGTGGACAAAAGTATCCGCACACTTTTTCACTTAATATAAAACTTAAAATATTTTTGCAATAACAATAAAAAGTCAATTAATTTTTTATTTAA